AACATGTTTGCAATTGATTACCAGGGAAAACAATCCAAGACTTAAGTCATCATTTTTGGATGTCAGAGTGTCTGACAGCCTCATACAATCAAAATGTGGCTTCAGTATAAATTAAAGAATCAAAATCATGAGAAATTATTGCCATCTTTGGTGGAGGAGATATTCCTGAAAGCTATAGAACTTACTATTGCTAAGTTAGGAAGAAAAAAGATAACATGGCAAAATATAAATTTAAATTTTGATTAGGAAAAAATATTTAAGATAATAATGAAATCTGTCCTCTCTCATCTGTGATGTGATAAAAACTATACTGACTTAATTTCACTGAAAAAACTAAAAGATGAATGAATTAAAGTGAAAAGTGCTATTACAGAACTCCTATTCCTCAGCAATGGGGGTAGTCACAGATCACTCTTTCGTTATTCTCAGTCTCACTCACTCCTACTTCGAAAGTCTTGCTTTTCACAACCATGAAGCTCTTCTGGGCTTCCCTTTCTCATAGATCTATGTTCTATCTTCAGCACCTCCCTATTCTTCCCTGTCCTGAGAAAAGGCTTCTGGTGTAATCTTCATTGACCAACATTTTTTAAAGTCACTTCACTCTCAACTTCAGAGCCTAGAGCTTGTTGTACCTAATTGCCTACCAAATTCAAATTACACTGGCAGCATTCAAAGCTTCCCCCACTGACTTGTACCTGCTTCTATAGGTTACTTACCATTACATCGCAACTTACTATCTGAGAAACAGATGTACCACTTTTATTGTTCTTTGTAGATACAGCCCTTTGCTTTTGGTTATTCTTTAATGATATTTTGAAGACAGTGGCTATTGTACTATGCTAGGTTCCAGGGTGCAAATATGAACCAACAATGTCTCATTCTTCAAGGTTTGCAGGAACAAGTATATGACAGCCAATACCTTGTGGTAAGTGCAGTAATATAATTATAAATAAGTTATAGGGTGGTAAAAAGAGAAATAAATATCAAGACAAAATTGTAACACTATTTTGTTCACATAACAAGCAGTTATTGTGGCTTATAAGTTCCATGAAGGCAAGAACTTTCTTTTGATTATGTAGGTACTTCAAAAGCATAGGTTGACTAACTGTCAGCTCCTTCTAAAGTAAGGAGTTATCCCTGACGTTTCATTCGACATAGAGAGTTGATGATAATAGTATATTTGCTTTTTCAATTGTAAAACCACCATCTTTTGGTTGAAGTTACCCTGGAGGAGGAGTCAGAAAGCCTAGGCTTTTGTCCTGACTTGTTCCTAATAAGCCATGTGACTTAGAACAAGGCATTTCACTTCACTGTGTGTCATCCATTTTCTCTCTACAATGAATAGGTTGAGCTAGATGTCCCTAATTTCTCATTCTGCTCTTACAGTCTTTAATTCTCTGTGTCAGCATTCCTTCATTGCTTCAACAGACACATACTAATAAAACTTATAGTGTGTAAGCCACTAGATCTTAAGATTTGTTTATGTCACAGTTATTCAAATTTCATCATTTCTAATCAACTTTCATCATTTCTAAGCTGGGGCTGGATGTCTTGATAGCCAGAATCAGCAAAGCGATTAACCATCTAAGATTAGTGCTCTGTGATTTACTTTCCCACTTCTTTAACCCTGGAGACATTGGCATGGAGAGAGAAAACTTCAGCTCTTTGAGCATTCTCCTGGTCACACAGAAAAGCAGGACTCCACATCATGTTTGGCATGTTTGTTGATAGTGAGACTCTGGAGTGATGGAGTGAAGACTGGAACTGAGCTAACCTGACAGTTTGAGAGCTTAAAAGCATCGATTAGTTCATGTGTAAGAATCTGACCTTGTAACTTCCTCCATATTGTGGTTTTGGTTCCTATAATGAGAATTATAGGAAAAAAAAAGCAAAAAATAAATAAAAGAAAAAACAAAAACAAAAAAGAAAGAAACCTTATTCTTTCACCAAAATAATAGTGATTATTCTACCAAAATAATAAAGGACATGAATTAATAGACACCAGTGAGTACAATTTTAAGAATCTTACACACTAAGGACTAAACTGACAAGGATACAGTCTGGGCATTGCATTTCATATGTGTCCTCAGTACACATTCCCATGTTAATCACCTTTGCAAGAATCAACTTTCAGTGAGAGATGAGCACAAATGCATTTTGTGCCGTACTTATCAGGCTACCCATTGACAGATATTCATATTGCAGTTTTTAATTAGGTGACAAAGCAGCTTCACATATACGGTAGTTGGTGCTAATGAAAATTTACACGAGGAACCAAAGGAAATTAAATAGATGTGAATATTATCATTTTTCACTTTTTCTTTTATTTGTGGTAACAAGAATGTGTGAATTGAAAAATCTAAAGAAAGATAATGGTTGACTTAGTTTTAAACATGAAATATACTGAATAAGAAGTCACACTGGTAAATGCAAAAAAGTACTTTAATGTTTTATTTTGACACTTTGTAACAATAACAGAAACACTATATTTATCTATTCTAGCTCTCTAGCATTGTGATGAATGGGCCATAAAAAAACCTACCAATTGATGCTAAGTAAAATAAAACTAAGTTCATATTTTATAGAGAAAAGGGTGACAATGACTATTTTAAAATGGCCTATTATAGATATGAATATGAAAAGAAGAGATAACCACCAGGGAAACAAACTCAGTATTATGCACTTTATTGTTACTTCACAGCTTGAAGATTTTTGGACACGATGTGTTGGGCGAAGTTTATTGGATTTGCTGCAGTAAGTCAACTGTTCTCAAAATCTCATGTATCTGAATAATTCTCTCTTTAACTTAACTACTCTATTTTCTATTCCTTGTTTTTCTTCTTAAATATATTTGAGAATATATGATTTTTAGTTAACAAAAATGTTTGTGACTTTAAAGTTTCAGTGAAAAGTAACCATATAAATAATATAATTCACATAATAGCAAAGGGAGTCTTTCAGTAGGAAAACATTTGCTCATGTATCATTTAAGTACTCTTATAGAAAACTATATTTTGATAATGTGTATAAAAATTCCTAAACGTATATAAACAACAGCAATGATGAAAATTTGTAAACTCTACATTATCTTTTCTGAGTTATTCTCTCTGTTATGATGAACTTCCTAGGAACTTACCCCTATGATATCATGTGAAATTAAAATTATCAGCACTGGCAAATTATATATAAATATATATTTCTTATATCTTCCAAGAATGATATGATTTCTGAAAGAATAATCCCATACTTTAATTTCTGATTTCCATTTACACCCCTAATCTACCAGCACTGTATTCCATATTTAACAAACCTTCAATCAATACTTAGAATCATCATGTTTTCCAAATCATATTGGAGCTGGCATATCTTTGATTATATTTATTTTTTAAGAAAAGTGTCACTGATATCCAAACATATTAATAAATACAATTATCTTAAAAAGTTCAAACGATATCAAGAAATTCAGTTCATCATTTAAAAAAAACTTTTTCCTTTTTCTACAGATAGAGGAAGAGTAGAGATGGAGCTGGAGGCCATTGAAGGATTCTTTCTATGTAAGCTGTCTAAAATCTTTGTTAATTTGTCTGATTTTTACTATTACTGTACCATAAATATTATAGATATATTTTATATAAACATTTGTGACAAAAGAATTGATTTACCATCAATAATTTATCAATTTTATAAAAGTGTGTGAGATCTTTTGAATAACCACCATTTGTGGGACACACGCTTTGTCTTTATACAATTCTATTTTGTGTGCGGATATATGCTCATAATAATTATGCTTCTATCTATTTATCTGTCTTTCTAAATTGCATATCAAATGGTAGATGGTCAAGTAACTTATTGGAATGGTAAATAGAATGTGTAGTTCAATGTAAACACAAATAGTAAAAAGCTGCTTAATAAATTATCAGACTATAATATGACATATGATAGCAATCATTTTTAAAACACATTTGAAACATATGATAGTGAATAATGAGAAATCTCTCCACTGGCTTTAAGAAAAAATGTATTTTGTTCTTTGCATGCCCTAGAACATCTAGCCTTACCTTACACATAACAGATAGACAATGAACATGTGTTGGATGCATTTCTGACAGTGTAGACAGAGAGTGGCATGTAATATGATTTATGAAACAAAGAGAAACAAACAGTCCTGAAGAGAAGGAAAGAGGATGACAAAAAGTCTGTTTCACAGTAATTTCTCATTAATGGTGGTGCTACTTTCTCAACCGACTGCTTGGCAGGGGACTATCTGATCTGCCCTCTGCAGCCAGCTTATTGATTTTGTGGGTCGATGTAATCTGATGCATAAAGAGGCAAGAAAATGGGAGGCAACATTGTCCTAGATAACTGCCAAGAAGCAGATAGTTTACATTTGATGCATCCAGGCTAAGTGGCCCCATATGAAGTTGAATTATTAGTAAAAACAATCCTAACACTGACAATTCTCTTTTTCAGTAGTTCTACTGTTAGTGAAATATTTGTTACATTTAAAGAAAAGAGAAGATAGGTTTGAGAGATTAACTCTATATGGATACAAGGTAAAATTGCTTTTCCTTTCTTATATACACAATGTTGTACATATACATATCAAAGTCTAATTATAAGTCTTAGATTCCCGTGGCTCTAGGTTTTTATTTCTCTAGATATCTACTGTCTAACCATTTTACTGCTAGTTAGTGCTCACACTGCATGCAAATTAAAATGATTAGCTTGGAGGAGACACCAACAATAAAACAACATCTTCAAAGCAAAAATTTTAAACCAACCAAGCAACCAACCAAACAAAAACCCAGAAAAGCAAGCAAAAAATGCAATTTATAAAATAAGCAAAAATTGTTGAGGAAGAGAATAAAACTATTGTATAAAAGAGGATTTGCAGTTAAATTCCAGTTTTAATATGTCCAGCAGAGTTCTTAACACAAATTATACATTCACAAATTGCTAGTTTCTTTCCTTCCACCCCAGGAGAGAATGTTAAATGTTACCTGCCATAGAGGGTCTTTCTGCTCAGGGAAGAGCTCAAAATACTTGTGGGCCAGCTGCACTGGAGGCAGAGTTTGCAATTTCAGGTTGGTCCAGCTCTGCACAAAGTTGGCCAAGTTCACAAAGGTATACAACCCTAGGCGGTCATTTCCATAGTTTGATAAATGGGTCATGAAAATGCTGATCTGAAAGATAAATAAAAATGACCACAAAAATATCATATGCTTAAGCTCAAAAGTAGCAGTACAAGCCCCAGGCAGCACTTCGCCTCACTTTGGAATTTCACAAGAAGTACAATGATCTTTTTAAGTGGAAAGCCACACATTTAATTTTAATCACAAAATAACACTTAAACTCACTTTTAAAATTAAAATTGAAATTGAGAGTGTCATTTCCTCACTGTTCTTCAGAAGTATAGTGTTACTTTGCATCTCACTTTTGCTTATTGTGGAACAAATACCATCAAATTCAATCTAGTAACTTTCAGACCAGTGAAGAACTAATATTAGACCAGTTCTTAAATTAAACAAATTTTCCAGAACTTTTCTGGTGTAGATATGTGTACAGGTTGAAATAGAATCAGACTCAAGAAAACGTGTTTCTTTGTGGTCTTATTAAACAAATTTTATTGCAGTAGAGACTGTAAATGTTTGCACAGAAACTGATTGCATTTAGCCAGAAACTCTTCCCCATTCATTAATCCTTTTACAACTTTTCATACCCCAATATTAACCCTAAAAATATCATGGCATTTCAGTGTTGTTCTTTTGTGTATCACAGACAAAGAAAAAGTGAAATTAGATTACTTGGTATTGAAAGAGCAACTAAAAATTCAAATGTTATTACAAACATTATCTAATATTTAGTTAATTAGGCATTGCAGCAGGGATTTTTAAAAATACTAAATAAAAGAGAAATTGCAAAATTCTGATTTAAATTGCAGAGATTGTTCATGCTACTCATAAAAAAGAGAGTTCATTACTTTGTGACAAGCATAATTTTGTATTTGTTCCTCAATTTCATAATATTTTCAAATTTAATTATCTTAAAAATTCATTTTACTATTTACTGTATTGATCTATATTGTAAATGTTTTATAACAACCCAAATATTATAATGAAATAATTTATTAACTTTATTAGAAATGCAAGGTTAAAATAAGGTTATAAATAATAATATTAGAACAAATGTAACATCTGAAGCTGAACAGAAAAATAATATAGAAGAAAAGTCAAGTGTCTCATGGCTAATATTTTGTATGAAAACTTGCTGACACTTTTTTTAAGGGTTTATGTTTCTTGGTATGGTTATTTGGAAATAAAATGGGTTTGCAGAACTATTCCAATGTTAATTTTATTGACACCTGGTTAGATATTAGCCATGCAATAAAGACTATACGCAGACCTTCTGTTCCCATGATCTAATATGTCACTGGATAATTGTAAATGTCTAAAGAGGAGGTTTTTTATCTTAAAAAATAATAGAAGCATTACCTTGTACCAGAATTTAGAAAATCTACTCTGGCAAGGCACTGTAAGTTAAAACCCCTCTATGCGTTAAAGACACCTAAACGTTAGTTGATAAAATGGTCTTACTTGAGATTCATATGGAATCATTTAAACAAATACAGGCATATATGTCACTGATCAATATTACACAGACCAATCTGATAGATATCAATTCATTGTTTGAATGCCCTTTTTATTGTAGAAAACACATTCTCTATTATGTGTCATACTAGAATACTGAAAAAAATACCTGAAGGAAACCTGTTAAAATGATCAAAGTCACACCTCTTCATGGTTGAAGGTAGAGAAGAGAATGTGGCTTTAATGTCCCTAACTTACATAAAATCATAGCTAAAATTCATATAGTGCTTGCTTACTACGTACTAAGCAGGATTACAAGCCCTTCACATAGATGAAATAATTAAATCCTCTCAACGCTGTTACAGGTAACTACTGCTATTGCCTCCTTTTACAGATGAAGAAAATGAAGCACAGAGCAGTTAAGCAACTTGTTCAAGTTCTACATCTAGTCAGTGGCAGAGTAGGAATTTAAACCCAGGCAGCCAGATTCCCAATTCTGACATGTAGCTGAAACTTTCGCCAAAACATGTATATACATTGAGTTTGACATCCATCATTTTTTCCTTTTGCCCTTTTCAACAACAACAAAAAAGCAAGACAAAGAACATATTTTTATAGAAGGCAGTATAAAACTATGTAAGTATTATCTTGGCAGCTTAAAGTTTTTATTTTTCTTTTTACATTGGAATGAAAAAAAAATTTTTGAAACCTTAAATGAAATCTTTTAAGACAGTGAATTATAGCATCTGAGAAGAATATTACTAATAGACTGCAAATTTATCTTTGAAGACAATATCACTGCTATCATATTTCTAGTCCATTTTTTATCCTTGGAATATATTCAAATATTTTATTTGAATCATCAAAAAAGACAATAGATATTTAAAAAATATTATTTATTTAATTTATCTAGGTAGAAATTTAAGTTAACCCCTTAAGTTAAGCCTCTTAATCCCTTTACATTTAAGTTAAACCTCTAAATATTAGTTGACAATGATTTTAATTGAGATTCATATGGAATCTCAAGTAAAATTTAAAACATTTAAAAATTTTAAATGATTCCATGTGAAGCTCAAGTAAAATCATTGTATCAACTAATATTTAGGGGTTTAACTTAAATTTCTACCTAGATAAATTATATAAACATAACACTATCCAATGTCAAATTGGCCAATCTCTCACCCTTAAATTCTTTTATCTCAAATAGAAAGTTCCCTCTTGGCGGGACTTAGTTACAGAGTTTCTGTAACATAGCATGGTATCAGTAGTTGATGACCATATAATTGCCACTGTTGTCATGAGATCTCCTTGATAATCACCACAAAATAATATGCATTTGATCCCATTAAGTATGCATTTATCTCATGTCACTGCTGTAATTAAGAAATAAGACAGTGTAAGTAGCATGCTTCAGGATAATTATGGTTTCCCAGGACTGAAAATAGTATGAAAACCAGGCTGCCAGCTAAATGCCTGAAGAAATATAATAATGTCCTAGAAATCTACCACCTGCCCTCTTAGCATTGTTATTTTAAGAAGGAATTGTAAGGCACCTGTGAGAGTCTAAAGTCTGACAAAATTATAAATAAGAATATTACTTTGAGAGTATCGTAAAGAGTATTTTTATATCATACGCAGATGTATATTATCATTTTGTTAGGGTATTAATATAGACTTTTAAAAGATTTTTGTAGCAGAGTGATTTTAAGTCATTTTTCCAGAACATTCTTAGGAGGATAAGCTTTGTTTGATGACAAAAAAAAAAAAAAAAAAAAAAAAAAAAAAAAAAAAAAAAATCTTAAATTTTGTTAGTTGGCAAATGGAAAATCTGTCTTTGAAAGAAAGCAGAGTCTGGAGATATGTGGTTCTAAGCTGAGGCATGCTGCTGCATTTAAATTTTCCTTTACTGAGAATAAAAACAAGCACCCTGTCCATATTGGTTGCAATCACTGTTGTATGGGACAACATGTGCACATGCCTTACTGGTTAGAAACAAATTAGTGCTGGTATATGGTCAATTGGTTGCACTTTAAGAAAAACAATTCTGCAAGCACAGCTCAACTGTGCATATCTGGCTTGCTAAAATCACCTATTGTGCAGACAGAGCATTTTAAGAGTTTTAGCATTTCTGGGCAAATGGCTTCTTTAAACAAACAAAATAAAACCTATTTCAGAGAGTGTAAGTGTATAAGACAAATTAAAAATGGATGTTGTTGAGGCATAAATAAGAGAATTCAAAAGACATGTGGAATGAGATAGCAAATAATTTTTCACAGACTTACGTTGCTACTATTTTTTACTGTCTATTTTGTTTTTTTATATATTTATTTTGATTATTTTCTTATTGCATATTAAAAATAATCTGTTTCAATAGTGTACTCCCAAAAGTATCATCTGCGGAAAGTATGACAGTACTACATGGATAAAAATGGTTTAAATATACAGCCTACTGAACCTTGAAATATTGCCGCTCAGAGATATGCATTGATTCAAACAAGCAGAGCTTCATCTTTCATATGAAAAGGACAGGAAAGGACATCTTGTTCAATGGACGCATTGGAGAATAAGATGTTCAGTAAGTGCTAATTTCAGTAGGCCCATTGCAGCAGGCTTTCCAAGAGGGCACCGAGGTCTGGGTGCCATTGCTTCTGTCATCAAGCACTCTGGACTGCCTTTATCTTGTTGTTGGCACTTCTACCTCTGTTTCTCCCTCAACTCTCAAGGCTCTCAACTTCATTATAACCAAACATAAAACAAGTCTAAACTTTCGTATCTGTTGTAAAAATATACAAGCAAGCTTATGGGCACGTTCATAGTCTATTCATTAGAAATATAAGCAGTTTTTCATAACCTGATTGTCAGATACAATACATATATTCAAAATTTGGGAAGACATTACCTATGAAATAAATCTATTTAATGATGTATCTAAAGTTCAAGGAAAAAGGAAGCTTTATGTATTATAATGTATAAATCTTGATGATAGGAAATTGAGTAAATATAATTGAACTTTATGGATAATCCTTAACTGTGGGTAAACACACTGTCATAGGACAAATGGAATGGTGGTAAATAAATTAGGCAACTGGTTATCCCCCTGAGTGTTTAATTAAAAATTATACAATTAATTGTTCTTTTTAACATTTTTTTTTTGTCTTATGAGGCTGCCAATATCCAAAATATAAGAAGAGAAGAAAAAAGGGAAGATCAAAATAAAAGTGAAAGGTCTTATTTTATCCACAGAATGAAGCATTACTCTCCAAGTTGAGTTAGAATATTTTCACTGCCAAGACCAGAAGAGTTTCCTTGCTTTTGCTACTTGTGTGACAAATAGAATGGTATTGTAAACTGTATGATCACGAATATCAGTAGCCAGAATATATTATACAGTATTTTTAAATTGGAATTAAAAATCATTTTTAGAGCATACATTTTTAGTGAAAGTACACATTGAATATTTGGGTATTTAGTCCTGTGCCTTACAGTGCCTTTAAAAGTCAAATCATTTACAGATATTTGGTTCCTAGGAAAAAAAATGCACAATCACAAACACAGAAGGAAACAACAGCTTTGCAGAGCTGTTGGATAGCTGCTTT